ACTGACCTCCTCTGTTTGGAGAATCCTCTATCTTAAGAGGTACAGCTTACTTCCCAGAGTTAACGCTGAAAATATTAGATAACCTGTCTCCCAGCCCTTGTTGCAGCCATGGCCACACCATCTGGGCTCTGCTGATTAGATGTACCCACCCACCTGGGATTTCAAATGAGAAACTAGTGATGGGTAGAAGCAGGGACACAGGAACACAAAGACTCCAATTGTCTAGGGGGCGGCAGTGGTGGTGGAGACAATTACATCATTTCTAGAGGCAGCAGTGACAATATTGGCTGCCTATGTCTATGGTGACTTTGTGGTGCCTTCCCTTGACAGTTCTGCAATATGATTTTTAGGCCTTGTTCCTGGTGGCAGAGCCCATTGGCTAAATTCTCCAGCTATTCTGCTGATCCTGTGGACTCCCCAATATCTTCTAAATAAGTTCTGTTTCACTTAAGTCAGCCAGAGTCCTTTTTGATTGCTTCAAAGTAAGAGACAGACGATAACGAGGACTGGAAGACCATTGTATGAATCCCGAGAACTACACGTGTTAGTTAAGTTGGATGTTCCAGGCAGTTGGGCGTGCTCTTCCTCTGGCAAGCTGTTTGGGCGCGGCAGGAGTCTCTTCCCCAACAGGAATGGACCCTAGTGCTGGGAGGAGCTTCAGGCGTTGTGGCAGGCTGGCGAGAGAGACATACTGGGCCTAAATATAAGGCAGGTTCAGAGTGGACCCAGAGGTTGGCCTATAGCTATGAAATGATCAATTAACAATGTGCACTTTCATGGAATCCCTTTTCCCAGAAGAGAGATTTGAAAAACATTAACCCTCGGGTAAGAAATCTGGAGCCCTAGAAGTGAAGGTAGCAGTGGGGAATTTACCCTCCTCTGCTCTCATCTGATTTGTTTGCCAAGACATCCCACCAGCATGATGAAAGAAGGGGACATGGTTGGCAAAGAGATGCATCTTGCGAATGAGGCAACTGCTTTCACGTGTATGCATCGCTTCATTCGATCCGCACACAACTCGGTGAAGCAGGTAGGCTCACTGTTGTTATCATTTCCATTTTGGGATTAGGAGGCTGAGACTCAGAGAGGTTGAGCCATTCGTCCAAGGTTACGGTTGGCTGCGACAGGAATATAGACATCTGACTCAACCCTATATCCTTTCTCCAGGGACTGTCAGGGAGGTGGGCAGGAAAGAAGTGTAGAGATAGCTGGGCTGGAAGGAGGAAGGTAGCACTACCTACCTTTGGCATCCTCTTTTCTCTGGCACTGCCACCATCACCCCTTCCTCTTTCTAGACCCCATCTGGACCCCTTCACAGTGCCCCGGCAGCACTGGCTCACTGCCAGGCTAGGTCTGAGCCTGCCGCTATGGCTGTGCCCAAAGATGCAGCCTGCTTCCTGTTCCTGTTCCATCAAATTGGACCAGCCCTAGGTTCCATTCATTCTGGACTTTGCTCCAAATAAAACGTATACCATCTCATTCCAAACCTAGTTCCCTCTATGTAACACCCGAGAAAAATATTGGGCTAAAGAAGCCAGAGACAGATTTACTGGTGAGAGTTCTAGGCAGGAACTGGGAAGTCAGGTCGATCTTTCCAGAGACTCACTAGTACGTAGACAAGGGCACTGTGGTGGTTTTAAAATATGCCTAAGAATGCTTTGATGTTCCTTTGTTCCTTGATCTGTATGCTAGTGACACAGGTTTGTTCAGTTTGTGAAATTCATTGAGCTGTGCACTTCTCTATATGTATGTTATTGATATATATATTCATAAAAACGTTATATAAAAATCATTTTAAGAAAGGGAAGACATTTAGAGGAGGGCATTTGAATAAGCATTTATAATGGTAATCCACCTTAAGATAAAGTAATATAAAAACTCTAGACATAAGAAACTGCTGAAAGAAACCGATAAATCAGGTGATAGTTAAGCACTATACAAAAGGTCTTTCTTGCCTTACAAAAGGACTATGGTGGAATTTCTTTGTTTCTCTGGAGTACTTAAAATAAGATTCTATTGAGACATAAAACTTCTTCAGAATCGTAGCTACAAGTGAGGCACATCTGCATTTTAAAGACTATTTGATCTGTCTTTTTTCCCTCCATCAGTTTTCCTAGGTATAAATCGGTGAATCACTCACAATGCAAAGAAGGTGTTCAAACCATTTTGATTGGATGTACTCCAGGGGGGGCTGATTTGGCAAAAAGGAGGTCCAATAATCTCAGAAGAACAGTTTCAGTATCTAGTTCCATGTGCAATGGGTAGGAGCTGGCGACTTCCTAAGACTCCTTCCAGCTCTAGGATGCCAGTTTTATGAGGTAGAAAGAACACAGTGTATCTAAAAAAAAAAAAAAAAAAAAAAAAGAGGCTGAAACAAAATTCTAGAAAAGTCAATTAATGCCCCAGAAATAAAAAAGGGCCCAAGGAAAAATATATATGCATGAATGAATAATGAATTTCTTTTCTGGCTCTTAGCTCTCCCCTCTTCCCCACCATAGAGTTGCCTAATTTTCTCTAGGAAGTTGAACACAATTTTACCTAAGAAGAGTGGAACTAAACCATGTCAGATCAAATTCTAGGTTAAGAATTTCTGCCCTGTGTTCTACCTTGAGGCTACCTGTGCTAATGGTATCCATGAGGCAATGAAAAAGTAGAAAGGGTCCAAAGGCAGTTAGTTTTCTTGTGATTGGAGGTTTATGGAGGGATGGTTAAATTACTTGCCCAAGGCCTTACAGATAGTGAAAGCTAAAACAATCAAGTTCTTAGAAGAAAACAAAGAAGATCATCTTTATGGCTTTAGGATAGGCAGAGATTTCTTAAACGGGGCATAAAAAACACTAGTCATAAAAGATAAGATTAATAAATTGGACTTCCTTCAAATTAAGAAATTTCTATTCATTAAAAGATAAGATTAAAACAATAAAAAGTAAACCACATATTGGGAAAAGATACTTGTAATACCTACATTGGAAAAAGGACTCATATCCTGAGCATGTAAAGAACTCTCATAGATCATTAAGACAGATAACTCCCCACAAATGGGCAAAAGATGTGAACAGACTTTTCACTAAAAGCGTATCAAAGTGGACAATAAGCATCTGAAAATTTGCTCAACATTATTGATTATCAGAGAAATTTAAATTTAAATCACAACAAAAGTCACACCCTTTTTTAAATTAAAAAGACTGGCAATACCAATACTGGCAAAGATATGGAGCAACCAGAAATCAACTATCACTGGTTGGAACATAAATTGTAATAACTTTGAAAAACTGCTTGGGAGTGTTGAATATATGTATAGTCTACGAACCAGGAATTCCAATCTTGGGTATTTACCAACATAAATGAATGCTACACCCACCAAAAGACATGTAGAAGAATGTTTGCAGCAGTTCATTCATGAAAGGCAAAAGCTTGAAGCAACTCAAGTGTCCACCAACAGTAGAATGAATACAGAAATCATTGAATATTTATATAATGAAGTAATACACAGTAGTGAAAAAAGAGTGGACCATTGTTACACACAACAATATGGCTGAATCTCAGAGACATACTGTGGAGTGAGAGAAGCCAAACACAAAAGTAGTGCACATACTATGTGTTTCATCCTTATCAAGTTCAAACATTGGTAAAACTAATCTATGGTGATAGCAGTCAGAATAGTGGTTACCCTTGTGGGATATTGAATGGGAAGGGGCATGAACAAGATGGAAAGGCTCTATATTTTGATCTGGGTGGCAGTTTTATGGTGTGTGCATGTGTAAACATTCATCATTTCTCACACTTTGGATTTGTGCACTTTACTGAATGTTATACTTCAAAAAGTAAAAAACAAAACAAAAAATCAGACCCTTTGTCCTGATTTTGTGTCTGACAATTGAGTCACTGAGGCTTTCCCTGTGAGCCCTCATACTGATGTCCTGTTGCATTAAAGTTCCTGGAGACTCCCCTCCCCCTCATCGGGGAAGACGCATATTTGGGAACTCTTGACAGACCGCCAGACACTGAGAACCACACTTATTTCAATACTGCATCAGGGAAGTACTCTTTTTCTCCAGCACCTAGTAGAGAGAATCAATACAAGTTCAATAAACGTTTATTGATAAATAACAATGGCTACCATTAGGTACAAATAGCATTTACCACACACTTTATAACAGGTACTGCACTAATTAATAACTTTCCAAGTATTTTCTTAAAAGTTATATAACCCTACACAGGAGGTTTATGGAGGGCCGGTTAAGTTATTGGCCCACGGCCGTTCAGCGTAAGTGGTGAACAGAGATCTCAATTCAGGTTAGTCTGATTCAGAACCTGGGCTGAAAACCACTCGCTATGGAATGAAGGGACGGTGTCCAAGCCCCGCCTGCACGTTATATAACATGCTCGACTAGGCCCGGTGGCATTCCGGCCAGGGCTGGAGCTGTGGTGGTTGCCAACGTTGGCGATGGACTCCCGGAGGCTTTAGTACCACTAACTGCACACAGGTGGCCACCGGGGCCAGAGAACCAACTGCCCTCTTTCCCCAAGGACCACGCCTTCACCTCCAGCCACTTCGCCTGGGGAATCAGAAAGGTTCCCAGCGCCCAGAAACCACAGTCTTCCCGACTTCAGCGACACACGCCCGAGGTGGGCATGGGCGTTTCACCCCCCGTTCCTGGAGAGAGGAGGAACCAGCGCGAACATTCCCGGAGAAGCAGAAGAAAAACAGGCCTGCAGGGGAGCAGGTTAGAGGTGGGGAAAACTTGGAGGGGTGGAGCTTTGCGAAACGAACGGCAGAAAAGCCTGTGAAGCGTAAAGGTGTGTCCCTGTACCTCCGAAGTGGAGCGGGGGCCGACGCAGCCCCTCTCTATTGCGCTTGCGCAATGCTGCCGCCCTGTGCACCCCCGCCCCTGCCCGCGGCTCAAGATTTACTCGTCTCTCGGCAACCATTCACCCGAAGAGCCAATCAGAGCGCACCTTTCGCCCCGCCCCCCGCCGTCAGCGCCGGGGCGGAAGCCTCCCGTGGGGACTGGCTCCGCCCCACCCCGCCCCGGCTCCCCGGGAGGGCAGGCTCTGGGGCGGGGGCGGGGGCGGGGACGGGGCGCGGGGGCGTGGTTCTGCCGTATAAGAACGGAGGGGGCGGCGGCGGGGCGGCTCACTTTGGTGCCGCTGCCTGGGGGCTGTAGTGACTGAGCCGCTCCTCCGGGGGGCTGCCCACGCCAAGGACCTTCCTCGGTCGCCTCCTCTTCCACCGCCCAGGTGAGTCCACAGTCCCCTCCTCTTCAGGTGTGCGGATGCGGCGGCGGCCCTAGTGAGCCGCGCGCCCTGCCCTCGAGGGTCCGTCCCGGCCAAGGTGCTCAGGTCTTTGCCCAGCTGGTCGGGGGAACCCTCGGAGGGGAGGTGCGGACAGGTGCCGGGACCCAGTGCTCCTTTCCCCTCCTGCTCCCGCGACGACCCCCGCCCTTTACACATCCGCCCCCGAGGGCCAGAAGAGACGCTCCGAGAGGGAGCTACAACTTTCCAGAGTCCCGAGCCCGGGCTTGGCAAACTTCAGCGAGTTCCTGCTCTGCGCATCCTGCAGGCTGCGCGCTGGCCGGGCGCAGGCGTGGCGTCGGAAGAGTGTGATGGGCGCCTTCAGCTCCTTCCCCGGATCGGACGGCGTCCCCGCCACCCCTTCCCTGCCTGCAGTCTCTCCGCTCGCGGGCGCGCTCACTTTCGCAGGCCGGACGGCCGGGTGCGAATTCGAATTCAGCGGTTTCACGAGGCGCAGTTGGAGGCTCGGCGGTCAGGGGCCGGGGAGGGGAGGGGCGCTTCCTAGGCTCATTGCCTAGGCCTGGGTTTTACGGAGAAGGGCGGAGATCCTTAACTTTTCATGGACTCGTACTCGACTGTGGACACCGTGAGGAGCAAAGTGACCCAAGAGAGTGACTGGTGCGCTGCGCGTCTCGGAAACTTCTCGAGAATCCGGAGTCTGTGAAACCTGGGTCCTCCCCTTTTTGGAATGGAAGTTGCTTACCGCGTAGGTTAAAAGCCCTGAGTCTGTTGACTCGGATAGCGGTGCTGTCGGTGGCTGATAGGCGCGGCTGCCCCAGGAGGTGTAGCGGTGCGGGGACTCCGTGCGCCTGGTCGCGAGGCGGGAGGGAGCGGGGTGGGAGGGGAGGCGGAGGAGGGCGACGACCCCGAAGAGTACAGGTTGGCAGCCTGCACACCTAAGCGCAGGAACCGGCGGACGAGGAAACCAAGCAGCGCTGCCTCGGAGTTAGAGGGGAGGACTGCAGAAATGCCTGGCGAGTTTTTCTGGAGGACTTGGGTTCTCCAGACTGTTAGGGCTGGACCCGGCGGGAGGGATCATCTCAGTCCCCTCTCCCTCCCCCTTTTTGTCCGGGGCCGGGCTTCTGCAGGGCTCTGACCAGTTTTTTAAGTAGGAACCTGCTTCCTTTTTAACATTTTCTGTTTTTTTATGGAGGTCTAACATGCATACAGTGAAGTGCTTAAAGTGCACCTATAGTAAGTTATTATAAAGACTGTGTATGTAGTCGTTTGTATTTTGACAACTTGTTCTTCAGGATACTTGGTTAGGTGGGTTAGGAGACTACACCAGCCCAGGAAATAAGATGATTAAATCTTCTTAAAGTAGACTCCTGGCTGGCCCAGCTGCCCTCCAGCGGGATGAGGGTGGCCATTGTTGGCTACAGCAACCTTTCAGTCTGAATACCTTGGCCAGGAAGCAAGGCAGGCAGCTGGGAGGGTGGTAGGAGAGCATACCCGGAATCTACTGTGTCTTAAATCGCCAGAGGTGTTACTGAGGGAGTGAGACCTGCCCGATTGGACCCTACAGTTGAAGGGGGAGGGGACTAAAGAATGCTGACTTTTCTCTTGGCTTTCAGGGAAGTGGTCTGAGCTGGACCAGCAGTGGTTCTGTCTTCTGGCATTCTTGTTTGTGAAGATGGAAAACTTACTATCTCTGGAGTCAAGCTTAGTTGACTTCAGATAACTGAAACCTTGTTTCTTAAGGTATACTCACAGCTTTAGAGTGCGTATATCCTCAAGAGTTTTTAGAGGATTTTCCTATATTGTATGTAATTGTCCAGGTAGTTGTGGGTTTTTAAAATTTCTCTGCCAGGAGGCCTCTAAATTGCTAACAAAACAAAGATTCTTAGTTTCATAACTTTACTGAGTGTACCTAGAACTAATAGCTGCACTCTTTACACTGAGTTGCTTCCACAATACTTACCTTGTATCCAGAGATTAAATCCTCTGAAGGAAAGGATTTGGCTCTTAGCCTGTTGTCAGAATGAGTGTGACTTAGCTGAGCACCAGTGGCTGGCCCTACTTAGTTTCTTCAGTTCCGCTGTGAGTACAAGCAGTCAGCAGAATCTCATGGCGAGTTCCAGAAGCCCTCTCCCACCCACCTCTGTCTCCCAATACTGCCAGCACTTAGGCTGCCTCCCCCAGCGTTCAAGGCCGGGGCAGATTATGCACATCTTGGAGTACCCAGCAAAGAACAGAGAATTCCTCATACTTCTGAAAGTCCAAGGAACAGCGGGACAACAAAGATAACTTAAAAGTGGACTGTAATGCTCTTGTTCTCACGGTACCATTAACCAGACCCATTTGATAGAAAACTAGAAAAGTACCTTACATTTTTTTTTTTTTTTACTGCTCAAGTAAGTACCTTTTTTCCATCTTTCATCTTTGCTATGTTGTGTTCATGGAGTCACCCCAAGGTCTCTGAATGGGTATGTTAAGCCTTTTTTGCATAACCGAGAGAAGCTGCAGAAGCCCAAGACTAGTTTCATGAGTAAAGTTAAACCTATGTTGTTTTCGTGTTTCTTGGTTTCACACCTGACTCTGGGCTGTATCTGTTGTTTTGTGTGCGTGTGTGTTTAGGGGTTAAGAGGGAGCAATGCAGTCTGAAGTTACTTGGGATAAAACATTACTCTGGTTAGATAAGGTCCATTGCTTTTTTTGTGTCGTCACTGGAGTAAACAAGGCGATATAGAAAAATGCTTTCTGCCATCTTGTTTTGACTGTGGTACACTAAATTGACATCAATTGGCATGATGAAGCAGGCACCTCTGTGGTTTAAGAAATGTTCATGTGTTTGAAACAACTTGGGCACACCAGCGGTGCTGACCTCTTGTGATGTTGTCAGGATATAAAGTCTCTCAAACTTTTTTACCCTTTCACTACATGCATTATATTTAGAATTTAAATGGTTTCGAGGAAGCATCTTTATATAAGCCAACTATGTAAGGAAGCCTTATGAGTTGTTTAGAATTAATAGATTTTGTACAGCTGGCCTCTAGCTTGTTCTAGAACTATTTGAGAACTTCTTGGAACAACAGGAAAAAACCAATGTGAGACAATTACTGCTGATGTTAAGCAACTCTCCATGTAGGATGTTTCTTGGTCTCAGAGCCTGAGACTAACGTCCTGGATTCTTGGTCACTAAACTGCGAGAGTGTTGTTTATTTCTTGGATAACAGTGATTGAGTCAGTAAGTAGTTAAGTGCTTCCTGGGCAGTAGTTTGTGCCAGGTGCTGAAGAGGCCAAGGGAATGGTATTCCAAAAGGCCTCTGGAAGCACTGTGGATGGAGAGGAGCTGGGTTGGCTTCCCTGTGCACTCTGTTTTCTCTGGTTTCTCGCAGCCGCTGGCACGTGAGCCCCAGAAAAGTGGGATCTGCTCATTGCTGACTTCTCAGTGCCTGCTTCTGGAGCTGGCCTGGCACAGGGAAGGTCTTCCTGTCATCAGATACAAGTTCAGCTGCCGATGGACCGCCATTCCTTGCATGGAGGGAGGTGTTCTTTAAATGGGTGATCTCCTGGTGGGCCAAGGCAAGCAGGGTGGTTTCTGGGTCTTCTTTTAAGAAGAGGCCTTAGGAGAAAGGTGTGGAGCTACGGGGCAGGGACTACTAATTGAGCAGCAGCTGAAACTCCTCAAGCTGGGCTGCAGGCTGGCTCCCTTAAGCACTGCCCATCCTTCCTCCCACCCTCCCTGACACCAGCCTCACATGGCTCACTCAGCCTTTCTCTCTCCGCATTCACTCGGTTGCTAGTTCTGCTGATTCTTTCTCTTTTTTATTTTTTGCTTTCCACTGTCATCACTGACCTGGTTTAGGGGCCTGTAGGCAGCAACTTGACAGAGCGATAACCAAGCATGTCTTCCTGCCTCTGGCCAATTCTACGGTCCCACGCACCTCGGACACCCTCATTAGAGCTCACAGGAACTCCCCATTCGTCTTGAAGCTGAGCCTCCTTTCCAAGACTTCTTACCTTTCTGATCTCCCTTGCAGAGTCTTCCTAACTGCGCTACCTTGCTTGCCGCACAGAACACATACTCAAATGAATGCTAAGGACAGGAGAGTAGATAATCATCCATCTTGCCTGGCTGCCTTCTCCTTCCTCCAGACACACTCTCGACCCCTGCGCTCTGCTTGTCAGAGTTGGAGAGGGGCATTAGGACTCCCGCACCTGCGTAGTCTCGGGCAGTTCTGTCGCTCACATGGAACAACTGCATGGTGGCTGCAGTAGGAAGTGTGCTGATGCAGAAGTAGAGATGAAGCGGACACTAATTGAGCATCTGACCTGCGTCCAGTTGCTTGCCCAGCCCAGGGTTGCTCAACTAGGAACAAGCACTGCTGCTGTCTCCGTGCCCAGGCCCTTGTAATCTTTGTATTTACGTCCTCTCTGCCTCTCAGGCCACCTTTTGTCGTGCGGAGGCCTGAGTTCTGGTCCTGGCGGAGCCTGCCTTTACCTATTCAGGCTTCAGTTTCTTCATTATGGTAAGGACTACAGACTAGACCAGTGCTGTCCAATAGAAATAGAAGAGGCACAGTTAACTTTCTAGTAGACACATTAAAGCGTAAAATTAAACAGGTGAAATTCATTTTAATAAGCCTATTTAATCTATATCAAATGTCATTTCAATATGTAATCAGTACAAACAATCTAAATGAGACAGTTTACATTCCTTTCTTCACACTGAGTCCTTGAAGCCCAGTGTGTGTGTGTTTGACACTTACAGCCCATCTCAGTTTAGAATTACCATGTTGGGCAGCACAGGCCTGGCCCATCTGCAAAAATATTTCACTCTCAAATTCTGATTCTACACGTGTGGGAGGCAAGAGCTAATGACCCAAAGTTATGGAAGAAGAATATGAGCCAGGATATATGCTCTAAAGGGCAGGGATCTTTGTTTCTTGCTTTCTAGTATATCATAAGCTCCTAGAACAGTGCTCAGAACATAGTAGGCACTC